GGTGGACCTGAAGAGCAAGGAGTTGAGCAGTCAGAAATGCAGTCAGACAAGCATCAGGGGCCAGAGGTTATAGGGCCTTAAGGATCACTGCAAGGACTTTGGGAAACCTTGGGGGCTTTAAGCTGAGAGGAGCATTTTCTGGCTTTTCAGGTTTTAAAAAGATCACTTTGGTTACAGGTGGAAAAAAGAATTGGGAGAGTGAGGGACACAGGAGATCAGTTTGTTACAGTCCGGCTGTGATGAAGGTGCATTGATGGTGATGATTCTAGACTAGGGAGGCAGTGGTGGAGATGGAGAGCATTCTGGGTGCTTTTTGAAGATAGAGCTAGCAATTTTTTGCTGATAGATTAGATGAAAGATGTGAAAAAAAGAGAAGTCATGGATGACTCCAGGGTTTTCGGGTGGAACAACTGGAAGAAGGGAATTGTCATTTGCTGAAATGGGAAAAAGCAGGTCCCGGCAATCTTGAGAAGCCATTTCAATATTCAAATGGAGGTTATTTGGTATATGCATTGGGAGTTCTGGGCAGAGGTTAGGGCCTGGAATGTAAATTGGGGAATCGTCAGATGTAAATGGTATTTAAAGCAAAGTATTTTGAACTACTTGGAAGAAAGTCACTTAAAGTAATTTTATACCCATATTCTTATTGTGGAATTACACCACATTTGTTTGGGATTTCCCACCCAAAGTCTCGGCCTGTGTCTAATTTGTTTTTAAGTGTCTGGTCCAGAGGTATGCACTTAATAACAATGACCCAATAAATAAGGGATGACTACGTAGGTGTGCAGTGTTGCATAGAGGTGTGAGTGGCGTTTTGGAATAGAGAGATCTGGGATTGAATCATGCCTCTAATACTTCCTAGCTCTGTCAACATGGCACAATTTAATTTCTCTTCAGTTTTTCCCTCTGAAGTATAGGGGATAAAGACCTATTTCCCAGGATAATGAGATGATCATAAACGTACTTTTGAAACCCCAAATCATGGCACTGTTGTTTTATTTTTGTTTTGAGAGCTGCACTGCCCAATACAGTAGCCACTAGCTATATAAGGCAATTTAAATCTGCATTTAATTTAATTAAAATAAAACAAAAATTTTAAATTAGTTCCTCGGTATCACTGGCAACTGGCATATGGTGCCCAGCAGCCATATGTGGCTAGTGGCTATTGGACAGCACACAATAGTACAATTCCATCATTATAGAAAGTTTTATTGGACAGTTCTGCACTAATACTTTCCTAAAGGACTGGAGACAGACAGGTGAGGCTCCAGACTTCAGGAACCATTTCACAAACACATCCTGTGGTCACCAGAAGCCCCAGGCAAGAAAGATGGCTGGCCCAGGTTGGGTGGCCCTCCTGTGTCATAGATGTCACATCCTTACCAAAGGAACCAGGGTCTGCAGAACCTAGGGGTATGGGGCAGGGCCAGGGATGCACCACCCCAGCTGCAATGACTTCTGTTCTACCAGATCCTGCCCTCTCTGCAGGTGGAGACCTTCCCCAGGACTGGCCAGTGGGCTGGTCACAGGTGGAGAGGCTGTAAAAGTGGAGTCTACAGATAAGGAGATGCTTCTGCTGGATCTATCTGTTGGTCCTTCTGTCTGCCTGTTTGCTATGATCTGTACATAACTCCCCTCCTGTATTGGGCAGACATCCCACAGGATGTTGCCACCCTTTAAAAGCTGCTGGCCAGGTCTTTCTCTTTTCTCAGGAGCTCTTGGACACCTCTCTGGCCTCCTCCCTTAGACCTGGAACCCTCAAGGCCAGGGATTAAGCCAATCCCCTTGGAGCAGGGGCTCCTGTACTGTGAGGCCCACGCTGCCCTACCACACCAGGACTCCCATCTTCTCCTTTGGGGATGTTCATATCATGACACTGTGGAGGCCTGTTAACCTATTCAAAGTTTGCCTAAAATGCATTGTGAGCTTGGGGAAGTCACTTTACAGCTCTGGTGCTTCAAAGTTCCTGTCTGTAAAATGCGGATAATATTTCTCGCCCAGCCTTCTGCTGAATGTTGTTTGAGGGAGGAGTGGCATGAAAGTACTTTATATGCTATGAGGTGTCACACAGGGTGAGTGCTTGTCCACTCAATGCTCCTGGCAGCTCTGTGGAGAAGCTGGGCAAAGATGATTTCTCTGTGCTCAAAATCACAGCCTGTGTAAGTGGCAAAGCCAAGTCTTGAGGACCTGTGCTGCCCTGGAAGACTCAACACAGTGCTTTCACTTGGGAAAAATGGGGCATAAAGTGAGGCAAATTTGCCCAGGGTCATGGTCAGAAATTGGACCCAGATCTCCTAATTCCTGGGCTGAAGCTCTTTACTATCTCGCAGTCCTTTGTTGTTGGGGATCTAAGTGTGTGTCTGAATGCTGCCACTTGGCAGCTATGTGATCTTGGGCCAATTAATGAACCTTTCTGAGCCTAAGTGTCCAGTTTTGTGAAATGTTGGTAATAATAGTACCCAGGACTGGCTACATAATTTGTGGGGACCCTTAAAAACAGAAATTCAGGGCTCCTTTTTCCCTTTCTTCTCCGATTTCTCTTTCAACCTAATGTCAGGCTCTTTTGGGCCTGGTGATGCCCACAAAGAGAGTGCAGACCTTCTCAGGGACCTGGGGGTCCTGGCTCATGACTGAACTCACAAACCCTCCCTTCCTCTCCCTGTGCCTGTGTCCAGACCCTGCCTAGGATGGAATTGTGGCTGGGAGTGGGGTGGGGGATGGGAGGGTAGTCAGGAAGGAAGCACAGTAGATGAGAACCCCTGTTGGGGAGGAGGAGATGGGGAGGTGAGAAAGGCAGGCCCATGTGTGCGCCAAGGCTCTGAATACCCAGTGCATGTTTCATTGTTCCATTGTTCCATTCACTTACAAACACAATTTCAAAGATAGAATTATTAAGAATTTCAAGATCGTGACCATAAAGCATCAAACCCCAAGTGTGGAGCACCAGTCTGAGTAGGGGACTCTATGCAGCTGCGCTGGTTACATGCCCATGAAGTTGGCTGTGATAGCACCTAGCTCACAGAGGGTCTGTGCAGAAGTGATGTGCCTGACTCATGGCAAGTGCTCAGTAAATGTCAGCTGTTCCATTAATGTGATTATAAATTATTAAATGTGATTTATTATAGATTGATTAAATGTGAGTTTGATGATGACTCCACTGTGGGAAAATATCTTCATTTACCTAATAGGAAGCTGCCACTTGCCTATAAGAACTCTCTTTGACATCCTCTTTCTTGGTGCTTTGTTATGGTTGAAGTGGGGGGAAGGAACAGAAAGGAACAGAAATGAACCTTTTAAAATAGTTAGGTAGCATGCAATTTTGTGTTAACCCTCACTACAGTAAGTCATTCCTTAGCAGGCAAGCACCTTATTCTTGCTCTAACCAACAAGGAAGCTGATGCTCAGAGATTGAAAGAGGCTTGCCCAAGGACACACAGCAAATCAGCAGATGCGAGGGCTTGAACCTGGATCTGTCTGCTTCTGAAGCCTGAGTTCAGCACCCAGTGCCTGGCGCTATGCTGGGAGAGCCCTCACCCGGGGCCTTTGTCAGCAGCTCATCTGGAAAGGAACCATCAGCCAAAACCTCTCAACTCTCCAGGGATGGCCTCATCTACTTCCCCCAGCTCCTTCCCATTCTTTTTGCTGCTGTGCAGCAGCTGCTTCCTGTGCCCTGGTGAGGGGCCCAGGGACAATGGGAAGAGGAAGGACTGGGTGGTAGGAAAGGGGCCAAGCACCGAGCTAAACAATGGTGGGTCCTAAAGAGCCGGAAGCAGCAAGTGGTTCTCAGCATTATTGTGGCCAGCGATGAGGGCTGCCCCTGCTAAGATTCTCCTTCTATTCCAGGCACATCTTCTTCTGAATTGCTGCAAGCTTTTGTGTCTCTGTTTCAACTCGTAGCCTTAGTTTCCCCATCTGTAAACTGTCTATAGTATCCAGAACACAGCCCCGTGCTGGGGGGAACCTTCAGGGGCTGTTTGCTGAATTAAATTATTAGAGTAGATGAGACTCTAAAGAGCCTCCCAGCATTGTCCATCACCTTGGCGATCCCCATCCATCCACCCATCCGACCCATAACCCTGCCCTGATGAGTCCCTACTGTGTGCGAGGTCCGCTGTGAGGCCCTGGGGTATGTTGATGACACCCAGGCTCTGCCCTGCAAGTGTTCCCAGGAAGCAGGTAATGCCACCGTCCTTTTCCAGGGTAAGTGCCACAGAAAGGTTTATAGCGTGTATGTGTATAGGGGGGACATAGCAAGTCTGTAGTGTCTAGGTTTACTTTAGGATGAGAATAATAATCCTGGGAGGAAAGGACCCTGCTGTGGCCTCCACTCCGATCCCCTTGCTGTGGGCTCTAGCGGGAGAAGAGGCTGAAACCGCCATGAAAGGAGCCCTGGGCCAGCAGCACTGGGTTTGAATTTCAGCCTCTCCATTCACTAGCCATGTGGCCTTCTGCAAATTCCTTTTCCTCTTCAGGCCTGTTTCCTCATCTGTAAATTGGAACTAACAACATTCACCTCCTGGCAGTGCCCGTGGTAAGGACTAAATTTAAGTAGTAGGCATTAAAGGACTTCCAGGGAATTGCTAAGTGCACGGAGTGGACAGGGCGGCAAGAATTGGACTCTGAGAGATCCCATATGAATGAAAAAATTTAAACAACACAGGCTGGGAGAGAAGTTGAGGAAGGGCCGTGTATGTGTGTTTGAGTGTGTGTGCGCACGCTCCTGCCATCCTGGCTGGGTGTGTGTGGATGAAGGAATAAGCGGTGGGAGATGCTGAGTCAGCAAGGCCATGTGAGGGACCCCCAGGGAAGGCTGCCTGGTCTCTCCTACGTTGTTGTTGTTGTTGTTGTTTTTTTTTTTTTTTGAGTTTAAATGCATTTCATTTTGAGACAACCTACATGACAATGTTTTTTCCTTAAAAACAATGCCTCCAAATAAATCATGGTGAAAATAAATGAAGAGCTCAAGATGACATCAGTCCCGTTTGTCTTGAGTTCTGGTGCTGTGTGGGTGACAAGCAGCAGCCAGTTATGATGACAGGTGATAGATCCAAAGTAATTGCCAAATTTGTTAACATTTTTCCATTTCTAAACCATCCTTAAAGAAAATCATATATGGGGTCACACCGTCCTCACGGTAGTCCGGTAGAGCAACCATGCCATCTGGATTCATGTTTTCACCAATAAAGAACTGGTAGTTTTTGAAACTAGCAAGGATGTGTTTGATTTGTTCTGCAGCCCCTGTCATAAAAGGTTTTACTCTTTCTGACCTCTGTTCTTCAAGTTTGCCTTTGATTGACTTCATGTAGTCTTTGATGTACTTAGTTGTCGGCTTCTTTTGTGAAGCTGGTTTCTTGCAAATGATAGTTCATGACAATATCAACACCAGTGATTACTGCGCTTGGCACCTTCGCCCTCAGGGCCTTCAGCGGAAGCATTTCCACCAATGAGCGAGTCATCAATGTTACTCTCTGTCGTACTGACCATCTCAACAAGAACTAACTGTTGATCCGTACAAAAACGGGGTCATTTACAAGCAAGCAAAAGTTTTTTTTCCAGTTGTGGGGTCCCGGGTGGCACAGCAATGCTCTCTTTTCTGAGGGCACATCCCTGGCAGCCTGAGTCAGCCGCTCCAGCTCCACGGATGCCAGCCCCTCCTCACCCGAGAAGGCTGGTGCTGGGGCGAGCGTAAGCACTGACAGGCACGGCCTTGTGCTGCCCTCTGCTGGTGTCACGGACAAGTGCGCTTCTTAGATGGGGACAATTTCTGCTCACACACAGTGACTCTCCTAACCCTGTGTTGGGTAGTGGGGACATACAGACAAAATCATGTTCCTGCTTTTTGAAAGCTCCTGATGTGTGTATGTGGTGGGGGATGAGAGAGAGAGAGAGAGAGAGAGAGAGAGAGAGAGAGATGAATAAAAGTGTGATCAACACCATAATACAAGATACAGAAATGATAGGGATGGTACCAGGGAAAGTTTTCAAAAGGTGATGATCTTTCATTCATTCATTAATCCACCAAATATTTATTGAGCATGTAATGTATTTCAAGCCCTAATATTCATGCTGGAACTACAACAGGGAACCGAATACATAAAAATTCCTGCCTGTGTGAAGCTTACATTCTAATGAAGAGAAACAATTAATAGATTAAGATAGGTAAATATATAGTGTTGGATGAGTACTAAGGAGAAAAATGAAACAGGAAAGGAGAACAGGGAATATCGTTGGGATAATTGCACCTCTTGTGGTAACATTTGAATAAAGACCCAAGGGAGAGGGGCTTCAGCTTCTAAGCATGATTAACTGGTACTGAACTTTCTGTCCTGTATAAATAACTGGAAAACTCGACAAATATATGAAACAACTATACAGACCCTGGACAATAGTTAGCACAGTACTATGATCCCAAGACAAGGAAAGCAAGCAAAGTGATCCCTAGCTTTCTGTCTGAAGGCACTTTCTGACAGAGCAGGGAGGAGAAACCCAAGTAGATGGTAGGGATCTTTTTGTGTTGAAGACAGAGATGTTGGCATTTGGAAAGGTTGAAGCACTAGAATTTGCAGGGAAGAGTACCAGAGTGGAAGGAGCTACTCAGAAAAAGAGCTCCAGAAAAATCTGTGTAAGTGTCTCCCTTGAGTCTTTGTCTAAATACTAAGTTGTACATGCATAGGGTGCAACTCCATGTGTGTGGCCAGGTAACAACTACTGAACAATTTCCAGATTAAGGAAGGGCTGAGAAACATTCAAGTTTCAGGTGGCCAGAATGGAGAGAACTTGTCGAACACCTGCAGCATTCAACATAGACCTCAAAAGGGTCATTGTAATAGGGTTAAACTAGCTTTAGACTAAAGTCTACCCTAGAGGCCCCTTAACAAAGCTTAAAAACAAGCCTCAAAAGGAAAAAGCTGATGCACAAGTAATTTTACTACTTACCAAAATAAAACAAACTTCACACTCTCGAAAGGAAGGAAACAAAAATTCAGACCCTCAATAATGGAACATTCACAATGTCCACCATCCAATAAAATAATTAGACCATGGAAAGGAGCAGGAAAATATGACCTCTAACCAGGAGAAAAATCATTCTATAGAAATAGACCCAGAAATATAGAGATGATAGAAGTAGCAGACAGAATTTGCAGCACCTATTCTAAATATATATTAAAATATTTCAATGAAAACATGAACATCATGAAGAAAGAAGTGGAAGTTACGAAATGGACCTTTAAGAGTTTAAAAGTATAATATCTGAATTTAAAAATGCACTGTTGGCCGGGCGCATGGCTCACGCCTGTAATGGGAGGCCAAGGCGGGCGGATTGCTCAAGGTCAGGAGTTTGAAACCAGCCTGAGCAAGAGACTCCGTCTCTACTATAAATAGAAAGAAATTAATTGGCCAACTAATATATATAGAAAAAAATTAGTCAGGCATGGTGGTGCATGCCTGTAGTCCCAGCTACTCAGGAGGCTGAGGCAGGAGGATTGCTTGAGTCCAGAAGATTGAGGTTGCTGTGAGCTAGGCTGACACCACGGCACTCACTCTAGCCTGGGCAACAAAGTGAGACTCTGTATCAAAAAAAAAGCACTGTATAGGCTAGGCATGGTGGCTCATGCCTGTAATCCTAGCACTCTGGGAGGCCAAGCTGGGCAGATCATTTGAGCTCAGGAGTTTGAGACCAGCCTGAGCAAGGGCAAGACACTGTCTCTACTAAAAAGATAAAAAGAAATTAGCTGGACAACTAATATATAAATATATATATATGTGCATATTAGATACTAAAGAAGAACATTTCAGTGAACTTGAAGATATAGTAATAGAAAATATACAAACTATAGCACAGAAAGAAAAAAACTAAAAAAAAAAGACTTTAAAAGAAAGAATGGCACCATAGTACCTATGGGACACTGTCAAATGGTCTAATGTATGTGTAATTGGGGTCTCAGAAAAAGTAGGGGCAGAAAAATAGTTGAAGACATAATAGACAAAAATTGTCCAAACTCGAAGATTAAGCAATAAACCTAAGAAGTTCAACCAATCCTAAACAGGATAAACACACAGAAAATGATACCAAGGCACATCATAACCCATTTACCAAGTAAACAGTGATAAAGAGAAAATATTGAAGATAAAAAAGAAGACATGTATTATATACAAGGAATAAAGATAAGAATTATCATTAATTAATTATTAGACTAAAAGACAATGGCAAGTAATCTTTTTTTAAATTAAGTTAATAATTACATTTTTTTAACATTTGAAGATAGGTAACTGTGATTATATATGCGACATATCCTTAAGGAGCTAAAAAAAAAAAAAGTCAACTGAAATTAATCCAGTGTATACTCTTCCAAAATGAAAAGGACAGAAATAAAGACAATTTCAAGATAACAAACCGAGAAGAATTTTATGCCAAACAATTTTGCATTATGAAAAAATGTTCAGCGCAAGCCCGGGCGCTGTGGCTCACGCCTGTAATCCTAGCTCTTTTTGGAGGCCGAGCCGGGTGGATTTGCTCAAGTTCAGGAAGTTTTCAAAACCAGCCTGAAGCAAAAGAGCGACGAACCCCGCTCTAACTATTAAACAGAAAGAATTTTAATTGGCCCAATGAATATATATAATATAATATAAAAAATTAGCGGCAAATAGTGCAGCAATGCCTGGTTTAAGTCCAGCTTCAACTCGGGAGGCTGAGGCAAAGGATTCCATTCGACCCAGGAAGTTGAGTTCCTTGTGAGATTAGGCCTTGACCGGCCACGGCCACTCACTCAGCCTGGAACAAACAAAGTTGAAGACTCTGGTCCTCAAAAAAAAAAAATGTTTTCAAGGAACTTCTCAGGGTGTAAGTAAAAAAAAAAAATACCACTAGAAATTTTTGGATCTATTATCAAGGATGAGAAAACAATTGGGAAATATTAATGCAGAGCAATTTTTTCCTTAGTTTTTAAAAATTTTTGTTTTTAAATGAACTATTTTTAAGGCAAAATAAAAACAATTGTAATATGGTGTTACAAACATGTAAGAAGTAAAATGTATGGCGCAAAGACCTATATGGAGAATATCCTAAGCATATTGTTATGTTTTCCTTCAATAATGTTATTGAAGTAGAAAAATTATTTTCGTTTTTTGGAAGGCAGGTTGTGGTAAGTTATAGATGTATATTGAAAACCCTAGAGAAACCACTAAAAGTAAAATGTCACTGGCTAATAAACTAATGGTGGAAGTAAAATGATAAAGTAAAAAAATACTCAACCACAAGAATCAGAGAAAGGAACAGAAACAAACAAAATCTTGAAGAATAGTGAAAACTAAAAACTACTAAAAAGAAAATTAATATTTAATGCTTTATGTTTAGAAAAGAAAGAAAGGTTTAAAAATCAATTAATTTAAAATTTCTAACCTTTAACCCTATAAAAATTAGAACAATTTTAAAACTTTTAAATAGAGGGAGGAAGAATATATGATGGAAATCAATAAAAATAGAAAAAACAATAGAAAAAAAAAATTAAAAACCAAAGGCTTGTTTTCTTCTGAAATTTTTTTTAAATAAAATGAAATACCTCTAGCTTTAGAAGTTAATCAATGAGAAAAAGAAGAGAAAGGCACAAATTATCATTGAATTTTAAAAAGAAGGGAACATCACTAAAAATATAACCCTTTCAGAACATGAATAGGATAAGAGTTAATATTTTTGAACTTTAAATGGAATACGTTGACAACTTAAATTGAAAAAATTGGACCAAATTTTCTGAAAAAGTAAAACTGCCAAAGCTTAGTCAAGAAAAAATAGATGACCTGAATATCTTCAGATATATTAAATACATTAAATCTGTAATTAAAGTCTCTCCCTTCACCCTGCAAAAATAATAACGGAAAAGAAAATCCAGGCCTATATAGCTTCCCTGGTGAATTCTATTAAACACACAAGGAATAAACAATGTTAATCTAATACAAACATATTCAAAGAATATGAGGGGAGAGAAAATTTCCAACTTATTTGTTGAGGCCAATATTATCCTAATATTAAAATCAGACAAAGACATTATAAGGAAAGAAACTATACATCATGTTCTCTTATGAAAAACCATGCAAAAATCTTTAGCAAATTTTTGCAAATTGAAATCATCAACATATAAAAAGATATGTACTTCATATTATAGAATAAATGGGGAAAACAATATGATATATGCAAAAAAGACATTTGACAGCATTCACTATCTATTCATAAAAACTCTAAGCAAATTAAGAGTAAAAGGGAACTTCCTCAATGTGATTAAAGGTATCTATGAAGAGCCTACAGCTAAATATCATACTTGATGCTGAAATATAGCATGTATTTTCTCTTAGATTGGGAACAAGGCAAATATGTCTGCTCTCACCATTTCTATTCAACATTGTACTGAGGTCCTAATCAGCGCCTTAAGCCAAAAACACCCAAAAAACAAAAACAAAAAACACATAGCTAGATATGTGTTTACACATAGCTAGATATAGAAGTAAAATTGTATTTACAAACAATATGATCATACAAATGAAAAGTCCTGGGGAGTCTAAAAAAAAAAACAACGATG